TGTTAGAAGAATGTACATTTGTGTTTTTTTGACTATGCAAAGGCATTTGACTGTGTGGATCATAACAAACTATGACTTCAGTAGGGGAAAGAATGGGAATTCCAGAACACTTAACTGTGCTCATAGAAAACTTCTACTTAGACTAAGAAGCTGTTTCCAAATTGTTGTTGTTGTTGTTGTTGTTATGTGCCGTCGAGTTGTTTGCGACTCATAGCGACCCTATGCACAACAGCCCTAAACCCTGCTCTGTCCTGCGCCAACTGCACTGCCTCTGACACACCCATCCCGATTACCCCAGTCACTGAATCAATCCATCTCATAGAGGGTCTTCCCCTCCTGCGCTGTCCCTCCACCCTCCCAAGCATGATGTCCCTCTCCAAGGACCCGTCCCTCCTGGCAACATGTCCAAAGTATGTCAGACGAAGCCCCAGAATCCTTGCCTCCAAGGAGTAGCTTGGTTTAACCCTCTCCAAGATGAATCTGTTTGTTTTCCTGGCAGTCCATGGTACATTCAATACTCTTCTCCAGCACCACAGCTCAAAGGCATCAACTCTCCTTCTGTCCTCTATAGTCATTGTCCAACTCTCTGATGCATAACAAGCGATTGCAAAAACCATGGCCTGTATCAGGCGCACCTTAGTCTCCAGAGAGACACGGTTGCTCTTGAATACTTTAGAGAGATCCCTAACAGCAGACTTTCCCATCGCGATACGCTTTTTGATTTCCTGACTGCTGGTGCCAAGAGTGTTGACTGTGGAGCTGAGCAAACTGAAGCTGTGAACAATCTCAATCTCTTCGCCATCCATCCTGACGCTGCCAATTGGTCCAGTGGTGAGAATCTTTGTCTTCTTGACATTGAGCCTCAGTCCATACTGAAGCCTGCAGTCCTTGACCCTTCGCAGCAAGTGCATGAGGTCCTCCTCAGTTTCAGCAAGCAGGGTTGTGTCATCTGCATAACGGAGATTGTTAATAGATCTTCCACCAATCCTGATGGCACAATTCTCCTCATTGAGCCTAGCCTCTTGGATAATCTGCTCTGCATACATGTTGAAAAGGTATGGAGACAGGATGCATCCCTGGCATACACCCTTCCCAATTTTGAACCATGCAGTGTTACCCTGCTCTGTTCTGACTACTGCTTCTTGGTCCAAGTATAGGTTTCGCATTAGCACAATTAAATGTTTTGAGATTCCCATTCTTCTCAGAGTCAGCCACAATTTGTTATGATCCACACAGTCAAATGCCTTTGCATAATCAGTGAAACACAGATCGACATTCTTCTGGTATTCTCTGCTTTCAGCTAAGATCCATCTAACATCAGCAACAATATCTCTAGTACCACGACCCCTTCTAAACCCAGCCTGGACTTTTAGCAATTCTCTGCTGATGTGCTGTTCTAATCGTTTTCGGATAATCTTCAGTAGAATCTTGCTTGAATGTGAAATCAATGACACTGTTCTGTAGTTTTCACACTCAGTTGGGTCACCTTTCTTTGGAATGGGAACAAATATAGCTCTCTTCCATGTTTTAAAATGAGGAAACGTACGTATCATGGGTTGTATCCTTTCTCCATAGCTATTAATTCTGTATAGTGAGTGATCATTTGAAAAGCTAGACTCTATGAAAAAGAACGTGGGATCAGGATCAGAGGAAGATTCATCAACAAACTGCATTATGCAGATGACACAAACCTTGCTTGCTGAAATTGAGGAGGTCTTGAAACACTTGCTACAGAAGATTAAAGACTACAGCCTTCAATATGGATTGCATCTCAACATCAAGATGACAAAAATCCTCACCACTGGGCCAATAAGTAACATCATGATAGAAAGGCAATAACCTCTTTTTACTTGGATCCACAATCTCTAGGTACCAGCCATCAGGTGACCAGGAGTCTTATTGCACTGGGCAAATCTGCTATCAGGAACCTCTCCAAAATACTGAGGAATGGTGATTTTGGTTTGAAGACTAAAGTGTGTCTGTTTCAGTCACTTGCTATGCAGCTGAAAGCTGAACAATGAATAAGGATGACAGAGATTAATTGATACCTTTAAATTGTGGTGTTAGAGAAGAGTAGTGACCATTCCATGGACTGTGAAAAGAACACATAGGCCTTGGAAAATGTGCAGCCAGAATCCTCCTTGGAAGCAAGGATGGCAAAACTTTGTCTCATTACTTTGATCATGTTACTGAAAGAGGCAATTCCTTGGAAAGAACATCATGCTTGGAAATGTGAATGGTTAATGAAAGAGAGGAAGACTCTAGATGGGATGTATTGACATACTGACTGTTCCCGTGGACTCAAGTGTATCAGAGATGATGAGGATGGCACAAGATAGGACATGGTTCAGATATGTTGTTCTCATAGGGTCTCTAAGAGCCATACTTGACTCTAGCACCTAACAACAACAACCACCATACATCCTTCTTTGTGTGACCACCTCCACCCTCACCCAGTCCTACCATATCCTGCCTTATGCTCCACTTGAACAAGGTCCCTCCTTTTATCCTTCCATGTCTTTGTTTATCCTTTTCATTCTTTCTGGAAAATGCTCCCTTTTTGCTTCTTGCAATATCACAAGCTCTGGTTTACCATTCCCCTTCTCTAACCAAAATAGAAATCTATTTCTCTTTGCTGATTTTCTAACTGCAATTAATATATACCTTTGATGTGCCATGCTCTAGGATGTATTGTCATGATTTCTTTACATGCCTGGTTTCTCCATTAACCAGGGTGATCCTTGAGAAGCTGTGCAATACTTCTATGTCTTTTGTGCATTTCATGGGGGATAGCACAGAGAAAGCTCTGGTGGCCTATTGGTAAGGAGTTGTGCTGCCAACCTGAAGGCACATGGTTCTAATCCATCAGCTGCTCTACAGGAAAAAGTTATCAATCTCCTCCCATAGGATTTATAGTCTCTCAAAACCCACTGGAGGATGAGCTGTGATTTGGTTCCTACTCTGAGGCACACAACAACACAGCCGCACAGAGGAGATGTTAAATAAACCCAGAATGTAAATTAATTATATAATATAGAACTCATGTAGCCTATATAAGGCATCAACTTCAACCTTTTCAAATAATAGAAAAGAAATTTTGACCCAATGAGAAACCATTTTCCTGTATATATCTGATAGGTGTTTGGTAGTAGGTGGAAGCATCTCAGACTTAAGGGGGAAAGTAAGGTTTGAACCGGGCTTTAAGTAGCATGGAGAAAAAGCTGGATAAAATAGAACATGGAGAAAGTTATTGTGTGTTGAGGATAAGATAGACAAATGCAAGAATTAGGACCTAAAATGACATGTTCTGAGTCAAACAAAACCAAGATGTTTAAAGCAAAGGTAACGAGAAGACTCAAAGTTCTTTTCTAGGCTTTATTTCTCTTAACCATTTCACTGAAGTATTTATGTGTTTGGCACAGGAACTACAGAGAAAAAGCAAGTACTTCAGATTCAGTTTCATAATGAGAACAGATGGGCAAAAAAAGTACCTAGAAAATTCTGTGCTTAGGGGTGAAACACATGTTTCCTTCTCCACATTTTAGAGATTAAGAAACAAAGGCTCAACAGGAAAGGGGTTTGTTCAAGATCTCATTGACAGTAAATGACATTCCAGGTGTGTGCTCTGGGCTGTTCATGAGTGTTGAAATCTAGACAAAGCTCACGCCTGCTCAAGTGAGCATGAACAGTCAATGAGAATGCTAAGTCAGCCAGGAGGGCTTTCTTGTGGGGTGATATGTTAGGGTAAAATGTCTTTTGTTTGCCACATCATCGTTATCTTACTCGTAAGTCCTTAACAGTAAAGGAGAATGAATAGCAAAAGGTCAATTCATAATGGGTCACAGAAGTCAGTTCTTCAACTCTAATACAACTCAACCTAAGAAGTTCTCACACTTAAAGCTGTTGCTACTTTGTGCCATATTCTATCATTGTTTATTACCTGTGTGTTTCTTTTGTTGAGTTATCACTTCCAAACTGTAAGCAATCTGATGCTAGTATCAAGGTCTGATTCATCTTTGTAACCTTAAGAGCCATCTGACTGTGCCTAGCACCTTTGTAACCTTCAGCGCCATCAGACTGTACCCAGCAGACAGGAGAGAAGGGAAGGTATTAGGTGGGGGTTGCTCATGTTCTTCAACCTCACAAGATAGTGAAGCTTTAGCCTCATTTACAAATGACACTCAAAGAAGGAAAGTAACTCTGCCAATGTTACAACTGTAGTATGCAGCAGATCTGGGAATTTACTTAAATTATGACTCCAAAGCCCACTCTTTCTACTGCAAATAAATCTTAGTCCAATGTATGGCACATTGATTTATCAGTCAATAATATTACAAATATTTGAATATTTCTTTGGCACAGAGCCTCAAACAATGGAAAAGAGAAAGATAAATAAACTATCTTGTCCTTGTTCACAATGAGCTCAAAATATAATATGAAAACAGAACAGAGAAGTACATATTACTGCACCAAGAAATTGCATGGACTGGGATTTTGGGATATGAAGGTGAACTATAGACATTTATGTTCTCTACAATCCCCAAGCTTGTAAGGGAGATCGACCCACCAGCAAATGCTAATAATTTGGCTAGGTTGGAAAACTAAAGGGGACTCTAGAACTCATCATGGTTATCAAAGGAATGACGTTCTAGGCATTCCTATGCTTTGTGTTCATCTTCTCTCCACTGTGACCTTGGTTGAATGAGTTGGACTCAGGATGGAAAGACAAGAGTTGGAGCTATAGGAAAAAGGAGTTTTCTCTACAACTAGAATGACAGAATATGTCCATTTATTCATCTTGTAGACATTTTTGATTCCTGCTTTGACTCAGGCCCAGTGCTGGGTTCTGGGAACAAAATCAAAAGGAAGATAAGACTACTGCTCTGAGGAAGTCACAGTCCAGTTGGGGAGATAAATGTGCACACAAAATGATTGTGGCATAGTGTATACATGTGCTACCCTTCTTTTTTCTCTCTCTCTGCTTATCTTCTCCTTTGCAGGAAAGAAAAACCCCCTCCGTACAAGCACTCACTCCTGAGGGGCCCGACCAGCAGCAGCCCCAGTGACAAAGGGGACAAGAAGAGCTCAGTGAACCACCAAGACCTTTCAAACTCTTTTTAAAGAGATGGAGTCCGGGGAGGTCTTGTGGGCACAGGAGCATGTATTTTCTGCTAGGACATGAAATTAATCACCCTTTTCTAGTTTCCCAGATAAGGATTTGTGGGATGATAAATAGGCGAGTGAAGAGGGAAAAGAAATGAGAAATTTCATCATTGATTTTTCCCTTTCGCCAATGGAAAATCAATCGTGCAACTTCAGCTCAAGTCTCAGGAACAAAATAGGAGACCCAAACCAGGAGAGTACAGATGCTATCTCCCACAACACAGAGTTCGTCTCAGAAAGAGTAAGACTCACAGATCTCTTTCCACTTTTATGTTGCATAGTTACTGTAGATGGCTACCTTTTAAAACAGCCTCCTTTAAAGTGCTCATATTTCTAGATACAAAAGAAAAGAAATGATATGCACAACCCAAATACAAATGCATTGTTGGGAACAACGGGACAGAATTTTTAAAATCAGGAGAGTCTCAGATATATGGTTACTGGATCTATAATCTGCTGCTTCCTGGCTCCAAATCTCATCATACAATTTCATTTTTTGATAACCATTTACTAATTACTTGGATAATTTAGTTATCGCCTTTTAAGTTATTATGGTTTAATTGTAACTTTAGCTCCAAACTTTAAAAGGGTTGTTGCTTATTTCAAAAGGTCCATCATATTTAAGTTCTCTGGTATGCCCAAGGGCAAAAACTTTTCCATTTAAGATGTAGGCATTGATAATCTACAATGCAAGAAGAAAAATGGTCCGTTTGAGGGAAGGGTGACTATCAGGTAAGAAGGATGTACAAGACAGATGGATTGTAAGGCAGGTAGGAATGATGAAATGGAACAACAGCAGCAACTTTCAAGGTGGCACAAGCTACTTTTTTTTTCCTGAAGAGTAAAGTGCCTTTGCATGATGAATGGGTCCAAGGGAGTCTGCTGCTCCCTTCCTTTCTATAGAATCAGCAGGCTGAGTCACCATGACAGCCTGCTAATTAAAATGACCTCCCGGAAATGAGGATTAGGAAGCCGGGAGAGGAACAGAGGCTCAAGGGAGATGAGGCCTCTAGCACAAAGCTGCAGTTAAACATTCTTTTAGTTTAGGTTGGAAACGTTTGAAGTTTGTTGCAAAAAATTGAGAGCAAAGCTGTTCACTTTTTGTATGTCGGTTTTCAGAAATGATAACAAAGAACTGTGTGTTAGCTGGCTACAAATGGCATGTTGTATATACAGCTTCTCCCCTGGGTTTTTGGTGCCCCAATAAAATTGTTTGTGCAGCTGTTCTGTTCCTCTGGGTATTATTGGAACTGCTCCTTCTAGGTCTCCCACTCCCTCGAGGAACCAAACAGCCAACCCAAATGTGACATAAACCACACTTCCATGACAGAGACTTTGTCAAGACGAAGAAGAATGGTTAAAACTTAACTCTCCAGCAGTTCCTGTGGCTAAGTCCTAGAAAGGTCAGTTGATTGCAGCTGGTTCAATATGAACCAACAGTGTGGCAGGCTTCTCAGAAATGACAGCATCATTTCAGACAATATGAGTACAGGCAGGTTGCCTATCTGTCTTTTCACTGGTCAAACCATGTCCATAAATCTGTGACTACATTAGGGCCCACATTCTGAAACTAGAATTCACTGATTGTATCATAGATCTCATAGGCAGCAGGCAGCTTCATGAATTAAAAAGCAAAAGGTTGAAATCAGACAACTCTGGATTCTAACTCTGCATTCAGACTCTAGTTCGATACTCTCAGTATCTGGGTGACACTAGGCAAATTGCTTAACCTCTGTGTTGCAGTTCCTTCTTTTTTGTAAAATGGTAAGAACTACAGAATTATAAAGACTTAATGCACTTAGGCATGGGAAATGTCAGCAGAATTTTTCAAGAACTGATTTCAAAGGTTCCTGGAATAACTAAGTAATTTCCCATTAAAAATATATGAGGAGAGGTGGGCTTTTTATCTAAGGATAAAAAAACCGAAAAGGAGTTGGGGTAGTTGTTGTTTGCCATCAAGTCAGAACTGACCCAAAGCTGACCTTCCAGTAGGTTTTCAGAGCAGTAAATTAAATAAGGGGAGATCTTTCTCCCGCAGAGAAGCTGGTGGACTAAACTGTGTACCTTTGAGATTACAGCACAGCTTCTTACCACTAGGTCACCAGAACTCCCAAAGCACATTCTGGCTCCACTGAGGCTAGAACCCTGTATTTTCTGTATGTAAGAGAGATGTGCTAACCACTCTACAATGGAATTATAAGGCAGGGAGTCAGGTGGAAAAGCAAAATCTCTTTTCTCCTAAAAGGTGAAGCAATGTTATGGGACAAAAGGGATCCACTTGTGCTGTGTTGTTCAAATGTAAAACCCAGATCCAGGGCATAAGGAAAACTTTCTAGTGGTTAAAGTTGCTAACGATTAGATTGGGGCAGTGAGCTCCCCATCATCAGAAGTGTAGAATGGGACATGGAGGAGAAGAATATTGAGCACTGAGATGGAAGATCTCAGCAGGTAAAGCAGACAAGCTGGTGTTCCTCCTGCTGATCGAGCCCAGCAGGAGGAACACTAGCCTCTCTTCTTACTTATTCTCTACTTTGTCAGCATGGAGCAATAAACAAACAACATAAATGTTGCTGTTGAGTCAAATTTGATTGCTGGCCACTCTGTGTGTTACAGAGTAGAACTATTCCATACAGTTGTCTTTCAGTATTATTGGACCTTTCTTCCACAGTTGTCTTTCAGTATTATTGGACCTTTCTTCCATAGTCTCACTGGATGAATTCAAGCCATCAACCTTTAGGATAGCAATTGAGTGGAAACCCCTACCTAGACAGGAACACCTGAAGTGTTTGCTGCAGAAGGTCAAGGACTATACTCTTCAATATGGATTGAACATTAATATCAAGAAGACAGATTCTCACCACTGGACCAGTTGGCAGCACTATGAAGGATGGAGAAGATATGGAGGCTGCTAACAGCTTCAGCTTGCTCAGATCCATGATCAGCACTCTTAGCATCAGCAGTTAGGAAATAAAAAGATGAATAGCATTGGGGAAATTTGCTGTCAGGGACCTCTCCAAAATGCCAAAGAGCAATGATGTCAGCCTGGAGACTAAGGGGCACTTGATCCTGGCCATGGTCTTCGCAATTACTTGCTATGCATCAGAGAGCTGGACCAGTGATGCTTTCAAGTTGTGGTGCTGAAGAAGAGTATTGACCATGTAATGCACCACCAGGAGAATAAACAGGTCTGACTTTGAGAGAGTGAAACCAAGTTTCTCCCTGGAGGCAAGGATTTTGAAGCTCCATCTCACATTCTTTGAGCATGTGGCCCAGAGGGACCAGTCCTTGGAGGATGTTATGCTTGGAAGGATTGAGGGACAGCATAGAAGAGTAAGACCCCAAATGAGATGGATTGACACAGTAACTGGGGCAATGGTATTAAACGTGTTGGAGTCAGTGCAGTGAGATTGGGTTAGGATAGGGCAGAGTTCAGAGATATCATACATTGTGTTGCTATGAGTCACGGGCAACTTGATGGCACATAACAACAATAACAATAGATATGGGGGAAGGATGTACAGGGAGAAAAGTGTAACAATGAATGAATGGAAACCCTAAGTCTCTGTAAACTTTCATTAAAATTAATTTAAAAAATAACAATAGATAGAATTAACAATCAAGTCAGAAGTCTTGGTACATCTTAGAAAAAGGAGACCATGATAAGTTTCTACCTGACACTCACATAACTCTCCATGTTCAGTACTAGCTTTGCTACACATCAGTCCAGAGAATCCAAGACAAGACTAGAATTATCTTTACTTCTCAAAGGTCAAAAGGCTTCAAAAGCTCTGGCAGGCAAGCAGGAGACCTCCTAGCTTCCTCCTTAGTAAAATCCACAGAAGAGGAGGCTGAGTCACTTACTCTGATGGTTTATTTCCATTTGCTCTCCCTTTTAAATACAGCAGCAGCAGTGGTAGGTCCTTAGTGAAGAGCTTTCCTTATTGCTCCACTGTTTGAATTGGCAGAGACACAGAGCTTGAATCCTCTGGCTGTAAGTAAGTAACATACTTACTTACATGACCAGAAGTCTCTTTACTCTCAAAGAGATCAGCCTTAGAAAAAGCCCAAGTCCTTTTTCTAAGTAGTAAGGGAAGGGCCAACCATGAAAGTATGGCGTGATCCACATTTGTAAATTCATGTTGTTGTTGTTGTTGTTGTTGATTGCCATTGAGTCGAGGTCGACTCATAACGACTCTATGAACAGAAGACCTAATGCCTTTCCATAGGTATCATTGTTTCTCCAAGTTCATAGACTTTCCAGAGGCATGTAGTTTAGGAAGTGGATATCACTCCTGACTCTCAAATGCATACTGATCATATATTATGCCAGGCACTGTGCCAAAGGCTTCCATGTCCAGTGTGCTCTTTATGTCCTCAGAATCCTAATGTCCAGGAGGTAAGTGTCATTTTCTCCATTTTCTATGTGAGAAAACTGAGAATCTTGAAGGTAGAATTTTTTCTTTGTATTCACTTACCTAGTGAGAAACTGGTTTTAAACCTAGCTCCCTTCTCATGACTCCATACTGTGTCTTTTCCATTTGTCTTCAGGTAAAATTATGTCAAAATGGAAATTCTGGTTAAAGCAGTAAAGGAAACAATGGCACCACCTAGAGGTAGGGAGAGAAGGAGGGAGCATGCAACTTTCCAGGCTGACTACAATGTTTAAGGACTTAGGGACTTTTTTAGCATTTGCTTCTGGAACCCTGCCTTCTTCCCATCTCTCATTCCTATTGCCTGTCCAAGTCCCTGCCGCGCACTCCAGTGTCCTCCAGAGGATAGGACACATTTATCACTTGACATGCAAAGGATTCAAATCTTCCAGTGCTTCTGGAAACTTAGCATCGTAATCATAGCAGGACCCATCTAATGCCCTTCAAGTTACTTATACTAAACAGATTACTAGCTCAGGTTCTTCATCCTTCTCTTTGTCTGGAATGTGTGGGCTGAAACTGCAATGC